GTCGGAGTAGTGCCCTTCCCTTGATAGTTCGGAGCTTGGCCATCAGGGCTTGGACCTTTGTAATGAGCTCGTCTTCTGTCTTTAGAAAGTCCTTCACCGCCAGATTGAATCGGTGGCTTGCACATCCGATGAACGGGATAGCGCCCTCCTTCCGGCCAATGCACTGGTTGACAGAACTGTTGTCTCCGACCATGAACTTGACAGCGCTCCAGGGCGCGTTGTACCGTGTCAGCGTGTCGGCGATCAGGTCATATTGGCTCTGCGCGCTCAGATCCTCTTCCACCTCCACCGGCGAGAACGCTAACAGAAGAAAGCGTCGAGACAGACACTCTAGGTCATCATAGTACTCGTTTGCGATACTCGTACCGGTAGTACCGGTATTACCACTGTCGAATACCGCGAATATCGCGATGTAGTGCCGGTTGCTACTCGTCCATCCATCGAGGATGAGGCCGAACGCAGATGGCAACTCGTGAGTCACACGTTGCTCAAGCAGCTCAAAAATGAGCACGATGTACCTCGAAAGTGTATCTTCAGATACTAGCGAGAGAGCTGCATTCTGGCGGATCAGCCGGCGCTCAACGAAGGTGAAGGGAAGGCGGTCGCACACGACCCACTCGATCCACCGGTAAAGGTCGCGTGTTCTTGAGCTCACTAGGTGTAGGCGTAGCGGATTTTGACGACGCGACGCTTCCTGGGCCTCTTGCTCATAGTCCTCGTGGTTGCGTCGCAAATGATTCAGTAAGTTCGTGTAGCCTTTTCCCTTCTTGTACTGCTTGTCGCAGGTTGTACACTTGAAAAAACCATTGCCGACGTCAGTGAACAGCATGGAGCAAATTTGGCTGCTTGTGAGAACCATAGTGGACAGGAAGATCTAGGAGCCGGGTTATCGTGAGGTAGTAAAAGTGAATTTGAGAATGGCAAAAGTTTTTCATGAGTCTGGAGGTCAATAGGAGTTCATGCATTGGTGGTGGACGGACAGAGGACACTGGTGGCTGCCGTGGGGCCAACTTTACAATTTAGGTATAAATTATGTACAATTCAAAAATGAATTGGTCTGACAGAATTAATAATTGAATTAAAGTATTATAATGTATTATAACGGACAATATTGTCATCCTCTCAAAAGTAGACACTACTCATACCAAATTTGCATCCACTTTTAGATCACGCCGACGTGCCGTGATACTTTTTTTAGGCACCTTGAAGCTCAAAACAAACTAAGCAGCACCAGAACGAAAATCGACACACAGTAGAACGCATTAAAGAGTATATTTCAGTACGTTGTCTGGCTGCCGAATTAGCTCGAGGCTTTGCGATATCGCTGCAGGAAGACTGGCACTGCAACGGATACTGTAAATCATGACAATAAGTTTTCATTATA